ATATCATAAGCAAATTGAAAAGAAACTACATATTCTTGCTAAGGCTCGTAACCTCGCCCTAGCAAACGGAAATTAGTTACTAACAATCATAAAACAAAATATGATTAAAAACATGGATAGAAAACACCTTGAAAATAAAATTGAATCTTCCAAAGTAGTGTGTGCGTTCTCTCCTTTTCTTTCTCCCTAGCTAAATATCTTTATTTATACTACTACAAAATAAAACCCTAAAAGGTCTTAGAATAAAACTAGGAAACATAATAAAATAATAAAACAGAAAATAAAAGGTTTCCTATTTGAACTAAAATTCGGACTTCGCAGATATTTAGTCTTTTGACCGACCAAATCAACTCCAATTTGGTCACAAAAGGTCTCTTTTGAAAGCTAAAGATGTCCCCTACAAATCCTCAGAATGAATCTTCCTCAAAATATACCATCTTGACCTTCAAAATACCCAAAATGTCTAGAAATGTCAATCTGGCAAAGCGCTGGGTCTTCTTTTCTTCGCCACGGTCAAAGGGTTTGGTAGAAATATCTGAAACTTTGACACAATTATTTTGAAACACTCATGAACATTCTCCAATTGGAATCATTCCAAAATTCATTCGTTTGATCACTTCTTGCTCTAGAGGAAGTCGAATGTCCTACATTGAAGATACATAACAAAATATCAAAGTTCTATCAAAATAACCAATAAATTAATACTAGGATTAGGGTAAAATATATAGTATAATATGGACTCATCACAATGCCTAAAAAAATACGATGCTACACTCGCAATAACACTATAAAAAAACAAGTTGCTTTCGCAGCAAAACTTCTCCTAGTGAACTTGGTATTTGTCGGAAAAAGTTTTTTAATCCGGCAAAATTCTAACGTTTCTTCGGACGAAAATTGAACTCAAATTTGTCAACACAGTCGTTCGGAAAGCTGCTTTTTTTTTCCTGTTAGTGTAAAATTAGTAAATACTTAGACTTCTATTATTATTTTTGTCAGACTCAGAATTCTATTCATGGCCCTATTTGGCACACCGTATAAGGTACCGGATAAGACTAATAATACAGTGTATCGTGTTTGGTGACTATTTGGATTAAATAGGCATCGGATTAAATAATCCGGGCCTACCTTTTTTACACGGCGCTTACCCCCTTACAAATATTGTGCAAATTCATGGTATAACTTAGTCGGGCTCGCTGAGAGACCAGTATTCCGCGCCCTCTCTTCCTCTCCAGGCACTCTCCAGGCGCTCTCTCTTCCTCTCATCCCAAGTTCGTCTTCTCAACTTTTTCTTCTTCATTTGAATCACAGATCGTCTTTTTAGATTTCTTCTGCTAGGATTCCACCCCTCCCTCTATTCTTCCCCCTCCTCCTATTTTTCTTGCAATTTTCTTTCAATTGATTAAATCTAGTTATTATTTTCTCTCTAATTATGCAATTGATTATGTAATTTTGTGTTTTAATTAGAATTTTTGAATTTTAGGGTTTGCTATTAGGGTCGAATTTAGGGTTTGTTGTTGGTGTTGAACTTACAATTTTAATGATTGGGTAGAGTGGGAGTGTGCAGGTTCACTTACCTAAACAAAACTTTGTCTCTGGCGCAACTCCCGTTTCACTCGCTGTCTCGCAGCCGCAACACAACCATACGGAAACTTGACCTTGGGTACTAAAACTTGACCTTGGGTACGACGGTGACAACTCTTTACCACACCTGAACTACAAATCTTGTTCCAAATTTTTTTAATTTTTATGTGAATTTTACTTTATATATATATATATCTGTGTGTGTGTGTGTGTGTGTGTGTGTGTGTGTGTGTGTGTGTGTGTGTGTGTGTGTGTGTGTGTGTGTGTGTGTGTGTGTGTGTGTGTGTGTGTGTGTGTGTGTGTGTGTGTGTTTGTGTGTGTGTCTGTCTGTCTATCTGTCTGTGTGTGAGAAAAATTTCGAATTAGGGTTGTTGAATTGTTGATTGGCATTTATTCCAGTTTGTAAAGTAATTACCTTAGAGTGTGTGTTTTTGAATTCGATTCATAACATGCTTCCTTGACTGATGAATGTCAAGACATCTTTCTGATTTCATTATAATTTTTCCTTCTGATCACCACAACAGTCTATAGGATTTATTATCTGCCTATGACATTTTTTTGTAGGACTTATTAACATGCTTCCTTCCGTTTTCAATGTTATTATCCAGTTACTTAATTTTTGCCACTATCTAATAATGTTATTTTATATTTTCACTAGACATGGATCAAAGAAAGATTGTGGTATGCTTCATTGTTAACGTGTGGTACTTGAATATTGTGACTTGGTTGATGATGTGGTTCATCAAGAATCATAATTCAGCTAGAAGGCAGAATCGGCAACTTGCACTTAGAAATCGCACATTTGTTAGGAGAATGGTAGGGTCAGCCTATTTAGATAGCATAATAGGATATGATGATGTTCAGTGTGTGAACCAAATTAGAATGGATAGAAGAACGTTCCATTATTTATGTAAAATGCTTTGTGACCACGGTAGAGTAAAATTGGATGGTGTAGTGACAATGGAAGAACAAGTTTGCATGTTTTTGCATATACTTGCACATCATGTCAAGAATCGTACAATTGGGAGTAGGTTTTGTCGATCGAGGGAAACCATAAGTAGGTATTTCAATTCCATTCTACATGGAGTGTTAAGGCTACAAGGTACACTTTTGAAAGTTCCAGAACCCATTCTGTGACATCCCGTCCCGAGATTATTAAAACGTACATGTGAATTGTCAACTTTGCCCTAGTTCATTTTTTTTTTTGACGTAATTGGTTGTTTTGTGTGTTGGCATGTCCTTGGGCCACACACACACCCCCACACCTGCACCAACTTCTGTCTCTCTCTCTCTGTGAGTTCCCCGAGCCCCATTCCCTTTCTTCTTCTTTGAAAACGTACGGACAAACTCACAAACCACCAAACCATCACAGATCGAGGGAACCAAGACCACCCTCGTGCTCGTGGGGCTGAGAGGAGTCCAGTGGTACCATTTTCAGGTAAGGACTTCGACGTTTTCACGTCGATTTTACAAGCTCCGTTTTAGTCACTGTTCATGCAAGATTAATCTAGTTAGTTTTTGGACTTTTGAAGCTTGTAGATGTGTTGGTGAGGTCCCAAGGAGCTTGGGAGTGCATCGTTGGACGGAATTGGACGTCGGAACCACGAACTGTAAGTTTGGCCGAATTTTCATATTTTTGGAAAGTTTGATTCCGTTGTTTTTAGGCCCTAAAACTTGTCCAACATGGTAGATTATGTTTAGGGCTTCATTTTGGTATAAATTACGTGAAAAATAGATGAAAAACGAAGGAGAATAGTGAGTTTAAAGTTTTCCCAGTTTTCCGGTGACCGGAGTCCGGCGAGGGTAGGCCGGAGAAGAAACAGGAATATTCTGTTAATTTTAACGGAATATTCCTAACGGCAGTAACGGTATCCGGTTAAGTTTAACGGAATATTCTTAAACGGCGTCAATTGACACCGTCAGTGTGCATGGCACGTGGCCGCGCGTGGGGGCGCGTAGGTCCGTGCCTATTTTGGCGCGTGGGGGCGCGTGAGAGGTCCAAAAATTATTTTTAAAATATGGTTGTGATCCTAAGGTTGTGTAGAGCACGTTGGTATATTCAATTGTCCATTTTGAGCAATGTATGAGAAGTTATTACGAGGAATTGGTTATGTGCTTTAAAGTTAACGTTTTTATAGCTATTTCACATATAGGTGACACGTACCCCGAGGACGAATGTGCACACGCGAGGCAGGGGGGCTACGACCCTTCTACATACCAGTGAGTGGGCTTTTGGTTTTTCGTATATACCTATATACTATATTTTTCCCATAAATTGATTAAATGGTTATCAGTTATGCCATGCATTACATTATCGTTAGTCATGCATCGTTGGTTGCATTAGTAGTTGCATATATCTATATATATGCATATTGGGTGCTGTGGACGCACAGGTAAGTGCCAGGTAAGTGTTATTCATGTTTATATTTCCGTAGTGGTTTGAGATGCTTAGAGAGCTCATAACCTGCACCCCCGGTGTCAGTGCTCCCGCCCATAGTAGGGCACAGTCCTTCACGTGATGTTCACCTCCCGCACCACACGCTCAGCTTGGATCCAAGTTAGGTGCACAGTCCTGTCGTACAGACCACTTTAGGTGGTTCCGACTCGTAGGTGACCCGCGATTATTCGCACAGCCTTCACGTGATCGTAGCACTAGAGCGTATATATGTATTACACCCAGGCCTCTCGTACAAACCACTTTAGGTGGTTTCGACTCGTGGGCAGGTTCAGTTGTTGAGTTTGAGATTTGAGCTCTATATGCAGCCGTACAGGTCACGTTAGGTGACTCCGGCTACCAGATTACATGTTATTGACCTACTTTATACCTGAGCACTTGCATTGTATTATGAGATTTCCGACATGGCATATATATATTGAGCATGATTGGCATACCCTTGAGCATGTTTGGCATATCTATACATAGATATATATATATATATATATATATATATATATTTATTTATTTCTGGGAAGTATACAGGTTTTACGGCGAGGGGTTAGAGTGTATTTTGCTAAATGGTTTTCAAAAAGCTTTGTTTTTGCCCACTCACGCAGTCTGTTTTGCGCCCCTCCAGGTTCTAGTTGAGTAGCAGTTCCGGTGGTTTCCCAGAGGGCTTTTCCGGCACTTCTGATAGACACCTATCATAGTAGGGTCACCTTCGGGTGTACTATTGTCGCTTATTTTTTTTTCTTTTGGATTGCTGTTGTCTGGCTCTGAATTTGTGACTCGCACGCTAGCACTTGTATTAGTACATTGTGTGCTAGTTGGTTTTTATTTACTCGTACTTTTTATTACTGTTCTATTAACTTCCGCACGTGCACATGGCTACGTCACCTTCGTGTGATGGCCAGCACGCCCTGATCTCGGTCGGGGTGTGTCACATTCCTAATGCCTACCCAGATCCTAAATAGAATTGGTTTGAGGTATTCTTCATATTTTATAAAAATTACTTCTAAAATTAATGTAATTAAATATATTAAGCATAATAATGTTAATGATTTTTTTTTAGAATTGCTTGGGGGCATTGGATGGGACTTACATTAACGTTCATGTCCCTGAGCGAGATAAACCAAGATATCGATCAAGGAAGGGAGAGATTGCGACCAATATGTTGGGAGTCTATAATGTGGACATGAATTTTATATTTGTGTACCCAGGTTGGGAAGGGTCGGCATCTGATTCTAGAGTACTCCGAGATGCCATAAGTAGACCATCAGGATTAAAAGTTCCCACGGGTAACAATAGATTATTTGTTTATATTAGTAATTTGAATCCTCATTTTTCTTATATATAGTAATATACATTTTTTTTGTGTGTTAGGGTGTTACTACCTTGTGGATGGTGGGTACACAAATGGTCCAGGATACCTTGCACCGTATAGGGAAGTGCGTTACCATCTCTCGGAGTGGAGAAATAGAAGACTCCCGATTAATCATGAGGAGTATTTCAATATGAAACATGCTCAAGCTAGAAATGTCATTGAGAGATGTTTTGGACTACTTAAGATGCGTTGGAGCATCTTAAGAGGTCCATCATTTTTCCCAATTAAAACACAATTTAGGATTATGACAGCCTGCTGCCTATTACATAATCTTATTAGAAGGCATATGTCAGCTGATCCAATAGAAAATGAAATCCTAAACTTGGACAAATCTGAAAGTAGTGATGATGATGAAGGTATGATTGAGAATGTTCAACCTACACAAGAATGGACTGCATGGAGAAACACTTTGGCTATGAATATGTACAATGAGTGGCGTGCACAAGTGTGATTTGATTAAATTTTCTTACATATGCATGTTGTGATTTGGTTATGATTTGTTATTTGAACAAATAGTGATTTCTTATGTATTCGGTTATGATACTTTATTCGAACGAAGTGTGACCTGGTTATGTATTTATTTAAAAAGTGTGATGATTTGCTTATGGTTTTTATCACTTACTATTAATTATATGCATTATTGATTATATGTCCTAATGCCAATACAAAGGCAGTTCCACATGTTGTGTTTGTAATTGTAGGAATGGAAAGTGAACAAAGTAGTCAACCAAAAGGAAGTAGAAGGGTTTGGAAACAACATGAAGAAGATGCATTGCTCTCCATACTTGAGGAGGCAGTTGTTAAGAATTTGCGATGTGATAACGGTTGTTTCAAACCCGGAACAATGGCTCAGTTTGAAACAGCTATTAATTTGAAATGTCCTTATGCCAATATAAAGGCAATTCCACATATTGAGTCCAAAATGAGGAGGTGGAAAAAAGATTATGCAATAGTTTATGACATGATTAATAAAACTGGTTTTGCATGGAATGATGTACGAAAGTGTATTGAGGTTGATAGCACTGAAGTATGGCAATCCTATGTAAAGGTAATTCTCTAACATAATACTAGAATTTAACTTTACATATTTGATTACTTAACATGTTCCTTTACATACAATTTAATAGTATGATTGTGTCTACCAAACCATATCCTTTAGCCCCATTCATTATAACAGCTTAATTAAATAAATAGATGCTTGATTATATCAAGACAGGTTGAAGGGAAAAAAAATAAGATTGTTTGTATTTTATGGATAGTGTGATTTGTTTTCGCATTGCAGGTTAACAAAGAAGCAGAAGGCTGGCTAGGAAAATCGTTTCCATTGTATGACAGATTAAATGTTATTTTTGGGAAAGACCGAGCAACCGGAGTAGGAGCTGCAACTCCTACTGAGATGATGAATGAGCCTGAGCACATTAATGAAGATGAAGATGAGGCGGAGACTAGTTCTCCCTCTGTTGCTTGACGGTCCAGTAGTTCAAGTACCCGGAAAAGGAAGAGAGCTACTAATGATAATGAACTTGCTGTGGCATTTAAAGAAATGCTTTCTGAATCAGTTGATAAGTTGGGTGAAGTTTTACAAGTTGCTTTTGGGAAAGGAGTGGATCAAAAACCTGAGATTGTTTCAGAATTGTCAAAGATGGATTTGTCTATTGAGGATCAAATCAAGGCACTAAATATCCTTTTTGAAAAGCTACAGAATGAGAAGAGATTCTCGTCTTTGGATGGTGCAATGAAAAAAGCCTTTGTACTCATGTTACTTGAACAAAGTAACCCCAATTGACATTTCAAACCAACAACAATATATTTTGTTAAAAGTTGTAGCATGCATATATTTTGTTAAAAGTAGCATGCATATATTTTGGCTATCTGGACAAACTGTTTTTTACTGAAACCACCTTGCATTTGTATATTTTATGAACTTGGATATGTGGTTGGATTATATATCGTAACGATTGTAATTGTTTTTTGTGAACCTTCTTTTATGTTATTGGAAAATATTTTGAATTTGATGTATGAAATTTACTATTTTTCTTTGTTATTTGAAAATTTATGTGGTTTTCAATAGGTATAAATATGAGAAAAGTTCAACAAACAAAGAAAGATCTGTTAAATTATTTTTTTTCTCTTGTCCTATCCGGTTCAGCACCAAACACAGTATAAATAATACGGTCATTAATCCGATATTGTACCAAACGCCTGACTAATTTAGTCAGTACTATCCAGTGGCTATTTATCATATCCAACAAAAATAGTCAGTACAGTTCGAGCTGCCAAACGAGACCTTAATAAGGAGAAAAATTTAAGAGGAATTGAAACTCAACTCATCTACAAAATATCCGAAGGCGTACTGTAAGTGGACGAAAATAATCCTCAAATAGACCAACTTAATATAATTGAGGACTGGGGGATATTTACATGAATGAGATCAAAAGTAAATCGAAAGTTTGAAGGATGTTGGAAAACGAAGCCTATGCAATTCAAGGGGAATTGCTACTCGAATTAAATAATCGAATTCGGGGGTAAAGTGGAACAAATTACAATGCAAGAAACAAAGTAAAACACTTGATAATAACTTATTTATTTACAAGTAATGACAAGGGCTGACACTAGACATAATTTCAATTAATATTTTTCATCCACATATAACCACGGTCTTAACAATTCCTGTCTAGGTGTTAGGAGGCTGTCTATTATCCCAGATAATGCATAGGAGTTTAAAAATTAAAAAAAGGGGTCTAAGCTTTTTTAGGCATTTGCCTAGCCCGTTTAGACCTTCTTAGACACCATTTTAGGTCGCGACTCTCACTTAAACAGAAAAACGATAACTTTCATTTTACATTTTATTTTTATTTTGTTCAGTAAATTGTAAGAAACTTGTTGAATACTTGGATGAATACTCATTATATGCGTGTTCTCCATATTTTTAATATGTTATAATATTGCAATTTATATGTCATTTTATTTTACAATTTATGGATGTCAATACAATTACATTACATATTTTTTAGTATAAATAGTCACTTATTTATACAATATAAATGGATTTACTTAAATCTGTATAGTCAGCCTAGATTCCGCCTAGGCGTTAGGCCCCAACCTACGGAAACTAAAAACAATATCAATTGGAAATTTGGAAACTAAATTAACTTGAAACCCCTTAGTACTATGGTCAAGTGACATTTATCTTCACTCGTAAGTGAGAGATCTTGTGTTCGATTGTCATCAAAGGCAAATTTGAATCACATAATTGCTAGCCTATTGTGAAGCTTAGCCCACTCTCCCATCTCCTTAGTGTAAATAATGTCGTTTGCTCAAAAAACAAACCCTAGCTCCAAAATAACTTGAAGATATATAATTTGGTACACGGAGAAGCTAACAACAAAATGTGAGGTACATAAAACCTCTTCAATGCCTTCATTTATCACAAAATGGTCCATGATCCCAACTTCCAACCTACCAAAAGATTTAGACAGATTTTGGCGCTTGATCACTGGACTTTTACACGAAAAGTAGGTCATGGTTATAGCTAGCTGCTAGCTAGGGCCTATCTAGTGTTAGGTTTCATTTTCATCTTTCCCGTTGATGTATTTTTAAACTAAGTTAAATAATGATTAATTTAAACCAAATTAAACTTGCAAGCACACGATCAATTATAGTAAGATATACAAATAAGAAGTTAAACTCAAAGAGATTACTTTAACACCAATTTGACTAATTAATCACGCTAGACTTAATTAAACAAAAAATAAGTTAAATGAATAATGAATTAAGACTAAAACTAATAATAAAATTAAAACAACAAGTAAATAATATAAACAGAAGTCAAGAAGAATTTCAAAAACAATGAAGCCTAATGTTATGAATCCACCAACAACAATCTTATATATTTTTCCTAGAGCCAACAACTATCCAATTACCAAGCCAATGTTAAAGGTTGTTATTTCTAATGTATGAATTAATCCGTAGCGAGATTTGTGTATCTCTACATGATAACTATATCTTATCAGTTAGGCACACACAAAAGCCCATTAAGCTTACAAGAATTATGTCAACCAAGTAAGACTAACTTGATATTGTTCATCCTTACTAGTTTATCTAATCTACTTAATCTTAAATCCATTAAAACTAATTGATTGGTCATTCTCATAGATTTATTTTGGTAACTAGATGCAAAATTTCTAAAAGTGACCAGTTATTAGAAATTCAAATCTAGAATAAATTGTGTACAAAGATTAAGAATATAACATGGCTTAGAATCAAATAGCAATTAACAAAGTACTTCTCAAATATTCATGTCAGGACTTTATCACAAACCTTAAAAAATAACCTAGTTACACATAAAAATAAAAATAAAAGAAAGAACCCGAAATCCATGGCAAGGCACGTCCCTAAACTCTTCTTTGCGAATTGCGTAGATGGTGATATTGGTATTATGGTGTGGTGGTGATGTGTAGAAAGAGCTTGAGATGCCTTATTAATACTAGAAAAACCCTAAAATGTCTTTTAGAAAGTCTCATAAAACAAAACAAATTCCTAAACAATTAATGACATAAACTAGGAAAGAATCCTTCATGGCTTGGGAAAAACGTTATCTATCTTGCATGCTAGATTTGAGGATGATTTAGCTTTTGGAAAATTCTAGAGAAATAGGAACCATTATAGCTCTATGTCTTAGGTTTGTAGGAATATATCACACGCCACTAGGAACAACCAGGAAAGGCTTCGAATCTTCATTCTCCCACAGATGTGCAGTTTTCACGAGAATGCAACTTCTGTGGGAAGGATTTACAAAACTAGAACATTTGGCTCTATGAAAAATTATGAAATTTAAATGCAATTATATTCAGCCTCTTAACATTCTTCTCCAATTGGCCTTGCATCAAAACTCCTCCAGAAAGTCGATTTATCACCAAAAATGTTATGAACATGTTGGCTGAAATTAAGGAAAAGAAACTAATAAAGCTCTTTTAAAATAAATTTTTAGCAAAACTTAGGGATATTGGCCTGAAAATATGAGAAATACTGCAATTATCAAATAGCTCCAAACTTAACTTTTGCTAGTTCTCGAGCAAAACAAAAGTAAAAGACAACAAGAAATAAATAGATTTTCCATAAATTAGCCTCAATGCAATGTAAAAGGGTCACCAAACTTAAGTGAATTAAACACTTTTCCAAATAGAATTATCCAAACCTTACATAAGATTCTCAAGTGTAGTGAGTGAAATAACCAATATCAATACAACTTACTCAACCTAGACATATATACGTAAACCAAAGCTTCCACTTCAAATTCTCCACTATGAATATCACTCACAAAGAAACCATACATTAAAGGGTAAAGTGCCACTCAAAACATTATAAGCAGTATAAAACCCCATAAGCTTGCTCTTCATATCATCTCTCCCCTTATTTAAATTAATGCAACACCAAAGACCAAAGGTCTTTACAAGGGTTGTAATGTTAGACTAGGCTATAGGCTACGAAAGAAAGGATAAGGAAAAATTAGAACTTAGGAAATACCAAGATATCTTCATCATGAAATTTGGCCAGCCCTCTTTTGAAACTTGATCTTCAATTCTTAGGGTCCAGACTCATATTGTAGGAATAGAACAATTTCAAACTACCATTTTCCTAATTTCTTTGATACTATCGTTTTCTTTTTCTTTTCTTTAGAAAAGATGATTGAAGAAGAAAAAAAAAATATATATATATATAATATGACACGTGGTACCTCGGTGCATGCGACTTCTTTGTGTAGAACCCAACCTTTATCGCCCTCGGCATCACTTTGGGATCTCTCAAACTACAAGGTATGGCTAATATAGGTTAAATGCATAAGGAATGTGGGCAATGAAAGAAAATGCTTAGTGTTTGGCTTCAAAAGGATAACTAGGGATATATAACATAAAAGGTTAGCTAGAAAGGCTCAAACGACCCAAAGATGGCCAAAATCATCTCCCTAATGTTGCATGACTTAGGATTTCTCCTCGAGAGATATTGAAGCAAGTTCTAGTGAATGATAATGTTATCTTAAAACTCACGAGAAAGAATATGCAAGAGGCTCAAAATCTCACAAATGTTCAATAAATTTTCACTTAAAATTCACATATAATTCTCGAAGTTAAAAGCTGGTCATACTAACTGTCTATATAAAATGAACCTGAGAATAATCATGTAGGAATCTGTTTAACCATATAAAATAACTGAAGTTCCACATAAAAAACACCAATTCAAATAAGCTTGTGACCCTGAAAGAAAAGCAAAGTATTATCATTGACTTATGGAATGTCTAACTAAAAGAAAACGACTCTAAGAAAAAGAAAACCTTTGACATTTTTTTTTTACTTTTGGTTAATCTATGTTTACTACCTTGAAGTCTCGTGGTTTTCAACATTTGGTACATGAAATTTTTTTCATCCCAGAGTCATACTTCAAGTCTTAAATTTGGGACAGTTTCATACCTCCATTAAGTTTTCCGTTAGAACTTATGTTAACTGATGATGTGGTGCCCACGTGGACAATAACTGGACAGCACGTGGATATTAAAAAATAATAAAATAAATTAATAAAATAATAAAAACTAAAAAAATTTAAAAAAAATAAATAAAACTTTTGTCTTCCTCCTCCCTCTTCCCCCGCACCCCACTTCCCTCTGTAAAATCCTCAAAACCATGTTTAGGCCTAAACC